TTTTATTATACAATTAGTTTTTTCGCGGTGAAAAAGAAAAGAAAAGAAAAGAAAGGAAAAGGAAAGGAAGAGAGAAACACGCGAGCGATTGAAAAATGCAAATTTTCGAATCGCAATAAACGAACGATTAATCAAAACTCACGTTCAACTCGTTCTTCCATTTTGCAAAATAATAAATATTTATCGGAATAAAATCTCATTCATTTTCCTTGGCAACTGAATGAACTAGTAAAGTCTTGATAACACTTTCATATATCTAATTTCCCTCTCCCTTCTCATTTTCCATGCAATCTTCCTAACGACCTTCCTCCACGTTCGAGCTCGAGCCGCACGCCATTATGCCGCGTTCACAATCGTCGTGTCTCAATTGCGAGTCGTGTAATTATGCGCTGTCCGCGTGCACGCTTTCACGAGTTTTATTCTCTAATTCTTCAATGTCACAACCCTAAAAATAACAACTTTAACTTGACTTTTCAACTTAAAACATTTTCAAAAAAAAAAATTCTAAGAAAAAAAAAGGGAATTAGAAATAAATATCTAATTTATTCGATATGATGATTTCTCCCGAAATTCGATTCTAAGATTAAAACGTCGAGAATGGAACATTTTGTTATTTAAAATAAAATAAATTTTGGCCGACGGCAGCCACGTGCGCCCCGAATAGAAACTAAACAGCGGAAAATTCATCTCTTGGGAAATTTCATTCATGACGCGCGAGAGTATCATTGACGTACCCACACTATTATATCATCGTGGATACAATTTTAATAGAGTCAATGTTTACCGCCGTGATCTGCGCCGTTTCCACGCGATCCTTTCGCGCTTCGATGTCTATCGTTAGATTCTAGATGCAAACACGGGACGGATGGAAAAATACAAGTATTATCAATCTCGAACGATTGACTAATTCGTGACGATAGCGACTAGTTTGTGACGCACGTTTTTGCACGAACCGCGTGAATTCGTTGTCGAGGACGAACGTCGACTCGATACTTTCGATCGAGCGTTACGAATCGAAATCGATCAAGAGTATTGTATGGTGAGCCTCGAGACCCTTTTTCTTGAATCGTCAACCTTACCTTTCTTTTTTTTTTACAGAATAGTTTTAAAAGTTTCCACGATGTCGAAATTTTTTTTATTTCGAGATACGATGGATAAAATTTTCAAATTTGTCTCTTTGTTATTTCGAAAGAGAACGGGGAACGATATACGTATATGTGCTTCAAATATAATTTTAAAAGGATAGAAAACGATTTTATAATAATAATAATAATAACAGTTTAAAAGGAGGAGGGTGGATGATGGAAACGGGGTTCAACGACAGAATCGGACGTCCCCCGTCAATGAGTCGTGGACGTGCAACACCGGTAGCCGCATTCCGTAAAACGAGCACGTATCTCGACGGAACGAGGCGAGAAAACGCGTTTAGTGGAGTACTGTTACTCGGCAGAGAGATATACGCAATCTTCTCGCACCCACGTTTTTCTTCTTCCGCCTTTATCTTCGATTATTATTTATCATTCATTTTTTGGATACGAAAACTCTCTCGAATAAACCTCGCGAGGATTATTATTGTTTCCGAGTAAAATTATTACGACGAGAAGGCGCATCATCGTTATTTCCGATGTTCAGGTCCGCGTGATCTTACGCCAACGAACGAACTGTTTACTGTTACTTTTCTCACGATCCTTCGAAAAAAGAAGAAGAAGGGGAAAAAATGACTCACCCAAAAGAAGAGCAGGCTCCCTGTTGTCGTCCAGCAACGCGACGAGCACGAGGAAGAGAGGATGCTGGACGGGCAGCCGGTCCACGTCATCCGTGCAATCGTCGTACACGACCACCTCCCTGTAATGCCCCCTGCGCAGCAACTCCTTGCCCTCCCTGGTGTTGGCCAGATCGGCGAGCGCCGCCTTCCCCAACTGCAACCTCCTCCTGTTGAACCGGTCCGAGCAGTTCACGTTGATCGCATCCCTCACGTGGTTCACGTTGTACAGTATGAAGGGGCGGCAATCGAGCAACACGATCCCTCCCTCGGCCGAGGACGATCGAAGACGATCGGCCAGTTGGTCGGGGGTGATGGTGCCGGTCCTCTGGAGCACGAGCTGCCTCTGGAGGGTGTTGCCCTCGGAGGAGGGGCTGGTGGGTAGGCTGACCGTCTCCAGTTTGCAACGTTTCGACAGCTGGTGCTGGTGGAGGTGCTGGTGGTGGAGGTGATGGTGGTGGTGGAGGTGGTGGTGGCAATGGCGGTGGTGGACGTCGGACAGGGGGTGGTCGCAGTCGGCGCTGCCGGTGCTGCAACCGCTGATGCTGGTCCCGCTCGCGTTCAGCTCGCCACAATCGGCCCCGTCGCTCGTCACGCAGCTGTCCACGCCGCTGCTCGTCGACGAGCTCGGCGAGACCGTGGACGTTGGCGAGGCGGACAGGAAGGTGGCGGCGGGCGGGCCTGGCTCGCTCAGGCTTCGGTTCAGAACGAGTTTCAGGTTGTCGCGGGAACGGGCCGCGGCCGAGACCGGCTCGCAGCACACAAGGGTCGACATCCTGGTCGATGACGAGTGGCAGTTGCCGCGTTGGTGCTGTTGCTGGCGACCCGTCGTCGTTGTATCGAGACGCGAGCCGGACGCTGTGGAAACGGAAGAAGAAGGGTGGAACAGACGGCACATTTTGCTTCAGGGTTTTCAGATATATTTGAGATATGTGGCAGGCTAAATTTGGGAATATTTGACGTTGGGCAAATAAGTTGGTCGGCTAAACGATGGAGAGGTAGTTTGGGTCGATTTTTTGATGCAACGTTTTTGCTTCGACCAAGGCTATTCGATCAATGTGGATGGAAAGTTTGTTATTTTTAAGTTTAAGAAACGTGGATTTGTTAAATGATAGAAAGAGATGGATTGAGTTATTTTGTTCTTTTTTTTGATAGAAGGATTCGACCAAGGTGGATGGAAAGTTTCTTATTTTTAAGTTTAAGAGATGCGTTATGGATTAGTTGATTAAATGATAGAAAAAGGTAGTTTAAGAAGAAGGGTGGAACAAACGCGGCCCATTTTGCTTGAGAAGAGCCCGTTTTGAGATATATGGGATATGTGGAAGGGTAAATTTGGGAATATTTGGCGTTGAATCCGCGTTGAAACAAATGATTGATTGAACGATGGAGAGGTAATTTGAGTCGTTTTGTTTCAATTTTTTGATGGAACGTTTTTGCTTCGACCAAGACTATTCGATCAATGTGGATGGAAAGATTCTTATTTTTAAGTTTGAGGGATGTGTTATGGATTTAGTTGATTAAACGATAGAGGTAGTTTGAGTCGTTTCGTTTCAATTTTTGATAGAAAGGTTCAACCAAAACTATTTGATCAATGTGGATGGAAAGTTTCTAAGTTTTTATTTTTAAGTTTAAGAGACGTGTTATGTATTTAGTTAATTAAACGATAGAAAGAGATAGTTTGAAAGGTTCAACCAAGGTTTCATAGTTTTATGTTTAAGAGACGTGTTATGGATGGATCGATTAAACGATAGAGAAATAGTTTGAGTCGTTTGTTTCTTTGGAATTTTTAATATTCGAGGTATTTTTTGATGGAACGTCTTAATTATCATATGGTAAGATTCCTGCAACTCCACCAAGGCTATCGATCGATGTGAACGGAAAGTTTCTTATTTTTAAGTTTAAGAGAAGCATTGATTAAAGTCGACTTTGAATCGTTTGTTCTTTGGAATCTTTGATATTCCAAAATATCTGCAACTGTTTCTTGATTTCTTATTTTTAAATTTAAAAGATGTATTATCGATCGATTGAGATATAGTTTGAATAGTTGAACGTGTCAAATGTCATATTGCAAGATGCTCCTGCAAATCTCGATCAATGTGAATGCAAAGTTTCTTAATTTAAATTTCTTATTTTTAAATTTAAGAGATGTAATGTCCGATTGATTAAAGTAGTTCGATGCATTTGTTCTTTGGAATCCTCGATATTCCAAAATACCTCCAATATTTTCTGTTTGATAGATCGTTTTAATTATCGTATCGTAAGAATCGCGCAACCCAAGATTGTTCAATCAACGTGAATGCAAAATTGCTTCATAACAGAGTCGATAGACGAACGCTTAGCTTAACGTTTACGATATTTTTACAGCGTGTTTGAAACACTATTGACAATTTGGAATTCCGCCTTAACAGAATCCTTACTTTCATTTTTCAATCGAATCGAAATATCAAGCATTATATTACCGATTTCTTAATACTACTTTCCAATCCGAATTTATCAATGTATGTTTAAATAATTTCTCCAGGCAAGATTCTCCAGGTCGTCAAGATTACTTTAAGATTACTCAAATTAACTCAAGAATCAGTTTGGCACAGACCTCTTCGATGCGGCTAGATGCCTCTCTCTTATTCGCGATAACGCAAACTAGGATAGATCTGGCGCGTGGGTCAACGATAGCGGAGGGGTGGGCTGATGAAGATGACGAAGAAGCCAGCGACCTTTAATCTCTCATGGAAGAAGCGACGGCTCTCGAACGTGGTCCACGAATCTTTGATAATATTCCTCCACCGTTTAATCGGTGAGTCACTTGGCCCCTTCCTTATTGCCAGATTCCACGAATCTATCGTCAGATGAACTGCAGAAGACGCAATGGACAACTTGATCCCGCCGAATTTACGAGCGTGACGAAACCGAGCATCGAATCGAATCGAGCGTATAAAATCAAACTTGTACACTTTTTACAAATTTGTCGAATATATTAATTTTTTTTATTTTAAGATTCCTTTTATCGCGAACAGACGAAACAGATCGAGGAATGATTGTCGATATTGGACGTGCTTTTTACTTTTCATTTGTTAAATGCCAATTTTTTCCCGATCCTTGTTAATTTCCATTGCACGAGTTTCGAACAAATGCCGCTTAACTTACCTCTAAATTTCCAACAGCAAACCTATAACCCAGACACCGGTTCATCCATAAATCAATTCCTCGATTAATCTCTAAATTGGAACAGGTCGAATCGATTGATGAAAATGTCCCGCCTCGAACGTTTTCTCGAAAGGCGTCGACGATGTTTAATGAATTTTGGCACCGTTTAAATTTCGCTCGTGAAATTATCACGAGGTAAACAGTAGGATTCGATACAGGATTCGGGCGGCGGCGACGGTTTTAAAATAGCGTTACGGAGGCGATGAGTCAAGCCACCGAAATACCCGTATTTGCGGTCGTTTTACGCGGATCACGTCGACGAAAATATTCCACGGCTTGCACAGGTGCTCTCCACGCCACCACGCCACGCTCGTTATCCGCACGTCCGCCTGATATACCAAGCCAAGGAAGCTTGCGCGGTCCAGTTTCTTTTTTTCTTCTTTCTGATCCCGCGGGAGGATAATTGATTGTTTTAAGAACGCAATTATTGCCTGTGACCATTTTTTAACAACGTTTCTTCATCCCAAAAGCTGAACTAATTTTTTAAATTGGTCTATCAAAGATTCCTCTTCTCAAAACCACGATTCCCTCGACAGTTTCGATAATTAATTATTTTAAGAACGCAACTTGCTATTATTGTCTTTCTTAACAATGTCTTTCTAAACTAATTTTTTAAATCAGTCTATCGATCCATCAAAGATTCTTTTCCTCTGAAATTCAAAACTTTCAATCGATTCAACAACTGTAAAGAAACATCATTCGTCATTCCCTTCCAAAACCACGATTCCCTCGACAATTAATTACTTTAAGAACGCAGCTTGCAATAATCGTCTATTTCAACAACGTTCAATTATTTCAATTCCTTCTCTCTTCTTTTCCACGCAAAGGAAATATTCCTTTCCTCTCATCGAAATTCGTTTCCTCGATCGATTCATCCATCTCCTCTTCCAAAACCACGATTCCCTCGATTTTTAATTATTTTAAGAACGCAGCTTGCAATAATCGTCTATTTTAACAACGTTCAATCCGGTTATTTCTTTCTTTTTTCCGCCCAAAGGAAATATTCAAAACGCTTTCCCATCCATCGATCCATCCATCTCCTCTTCCAAAACCACGATTCCCTCGACGCACAACAGTTTCATCGACCGGTAGCAGGAGAGAAACACGTGCCTTCTCCCCCCGTCGAAGGGGCTGGAACAACCAGATCCGTTTAATCGTTTATCAGCGTGTAACAACTCGGGAGGATCGACTCGATTAACCTTGGAGGAGGATCGCCGCCCGTTCATAAGCTGAAATAATGGCCGCGACTTAGGTTGCATAATAATGGACGCTCGTTCGAGAGTGAAAGCACGTTGACGGCCCGCATTAGAATCGTTCCTCGCTGCACCGTTACGTTTCTCTAATCTGCCGGTTAAAAGCCGGTGCATAACGATAACGAAAACGCGGCGGAACCAACAACGCGCCTCTTTTTCCTTCTCCTCCGCGTGCGCGTGAGCGGCTAGTTTCAGGTGTATACGACGATAAAGTACGGCGACGGGTCAATAAACTCGGTTGGAATGCCGGGTTCGAGACGTGTGCACCTTTGGTGGACAAGTTTTCGAGTTTGTGCGGATTGGAGGGAGATCGAGGATACGGAAGAGGAAACCGTATCGTCGATCTCGTCTTTTGTTACATTCCTATCGAAATTTTGTCGAGAAATCCGTAGAATAAAGGGAAGGAGAGAAATTTAAAATGGCGAGGCGAATGAAGTGGTTAATAAACGGATCTCTTTTCTCCTCGTCATTGTTTCCGCCGGTCTCTCGCCGCGCCAAGAACCGTCGATAAACAGAGAACCGTGGTGCGTGGACGCATCTAAATATATCGATGCGCCCGCGATCTACAGAGGAGTACTCGTCCTCGAGTCGTCCTATCTGGCAATTTTTCGGGGGGGAGGGGGCGAATAGAGCGACGGATGAAAAGGGCGTAAGCGGAAGGATCGTCGAGACATCACGTAATCTCTAACTTGGTGCGTTCCCTCGTTTCGTAACGATTTCGGGACCGATTGGTCGGCGTCCAACTGCCAGGTCAGAATAACCCGCTCCCTGTCATTTTCGCAACAATGACACGATAAGACGTGTATATCGATGCTGCTATTCCATTTTAATCAATGAAACCGCGTGGATTCACTCCTTATCTTGTTCTCCACTTCCTTCTCGGCCTAATAACGTATCGAATACAATGTGTGAGCAGAGCGACGTGAAAATAACGTGAACGAGTTGAGGAAAAAAACTAGGAATAGAATAATCTAGGGAATCGAATAGTTTGAAAGAGACGAATTTCAGTTGGATGGATTTCGATCGAACGAAAGTCACACTCTTTCCGCAACATCTTCCATCTCTTATATTAACTCTTAACGCTGCGGAGCCAAATGTTTTTTAGCATACGTATATCGGCGTTAGCAATTGTTGTCTGTAGTTAAAACGTGCTAAGCCTGTGCCATCACGATTAAACCCTCTTCTCAAAACCACGAACCTTGACAGTTTCGATAATTAATTATTTTAAGAACGCAACTTGCTATTATTGTCTTTCTTAACAATGTCTTTCTAAACTAATTTTTTAAATCAGTCTATCGATCCATCAAAGATTCTTTTCCTCTGAAATTCAAAACTTTCAATCGATTCAACAACTGTAAAGAAACATCATTCGTCATTCCCTTCCAAAACCACGATTCCCTC